CTTTCAAATATACGATATTGTTAACTGCAGTCGCAATGCTGTGCACACCTCCCCATCCAATGTGCCTCTTGTTGGTTGTGTGGCTTCACGAAGCTCTCCGAGCCTCACTTTCCTTTTCTCTCAAACTCCGATAGGAATTCCAGCCCTATCTACCTCACTATATTTTTGTGAGAAGCAAAAGTGATAATGTTCAGGAAGCCAATATTTGAAGTAGAAATTGTTCTATTTTATTGTAAGATGGACACGCAGTTATTCTGTAATAAAACTGCTGCTTACAGAGCCGCTCAACTCCCAACACGTTCCTAGCCTCTCCCCCAAATGGGCAGCTATTCATATTTGAATATTTTAATAAATGTGGATAGAAGTTCATTTAAGGCTTAGGCTGCCTTTCTTTTAGAGAAACAAAATCATATTTTCTCCTTTAATAAAGACAGTTACGAATTATTTAGTGGGTTTTTATCCCTTTCTTTGTAATCAATCTATTTTTACCTTCAGATTGTGGAGGTGTTTCTTGAGACAATATCTGTTTCATCCGTGTGTTGTTTCTGGCTGCCTCTTTTTCCATCTTGGATCCCTTTCACTTTCTTCCCTCACACCCCAACACACACAGCTTCACACTCCCTGCCTCGGTCCCCCATCCACCTTCGGGCAGGAAATGGGACACACACGTGCACACACACACACATGCCAGAAGAAGAAGCGTACAGATCAAAAGAGAGGAAGAAAATTAGGAGAAAGGCAAAATTCTGGGGCCCAGAGAAGGGTGTTGACATTAGGGAAATTGCCAAGCAGGTTGGAATAAAATGAATTGAGGGGAGGGGTAGGGGGTTCTGAGTTGTTGCCTGAAAAGCCTCAAGCTCATCTTTACAGCTAGTTTGTCTGGCTACCCAAGTATTGGGAGACTGTGCTCAGCTGGGTTACCACTTTCAATAATTGAAGCAACCTTTTGTAGTTTTTCTGTAAATGTAATTTTTGGCCTTTGGGGTCAATTTTCAAAAAGTGACACGCACAGCAACATGGATGATATTCACAAATGCAATGTGGTGCAAAGGAAACCAGATACAAAGGTACATACCGTATGATTCCATTCTCTAAAATGCAGAAACAGGCAAAATGAATCTGTGCTGTTAAAAATCAGGATTGTGGTCACCCTTGGGGCAGGGAGTGACTGGAAGGGGCTCAGGTGAGTTCCGGGTTTCTGGTAATGTTCTATTTCTTGATCTGGGTACTGGTTTCACGTGTGTGGTCTGTTTGTGAAAAACCATTGAACTGTATGCTCACAATCTGTGAACTTTCCTGTATATATTATACTTAATAAATTTAATTAGCATCAGTTGCTGTAAGAAGATTTCAAGCACAGGTACCTTGAACTTGTATTTTCTTTTCCTCACTGTGGTCATCTGGAGTGGAGAAGATGAAAGCCTCTTGACATTCAAGCCCTTCACTGTGCATTTATTCATTCAACACATGTTTATTAAAGAACGGTGTTGGGCCCCAGGGGCCAAGGGGGCCCTGCCCTCACACAGAGTACAATCTAATTTGGGGCAGAGTAGGGTGGGGGCAATGGATGTCAATCAAATAACCACACAGATCAATGTGCTGGAGATGAGGAAGAGGGAGGGAGATGTCCAAAAGAGCCCTGAAAGGTGAGCAGGTGTTTGAAGGGTGAGCAGGTGTGGGCTGCCAGGATATGGGACAAGGAGGGTTGTCCATTGGCGGTTAAATGTTAGGCTCAAACACCCACTAGAGGGCGACCACAGACAGCATTTGTGGCGGTTCCTGAACCAGTCAAGAAACACTGAGTTTCTGTAGCTTTTGCTCAGCTTCAACTCTCATAAGTGTTAGACGAGCAAAAAGTACCCAACAGAAACTGAAAGTTCCAGTGTAAATTTACGTACGTAGATGATGCTGTATAGTCTTGCCTGATAGTATAATACAGATTTTCTAATGACCTTAAAAAGAAAAAAGTTGAAAAGGAGTGATTAAAAGAATCTTTTCTCGACCTTTACACATCCTGAAAGAGCTGCCCACAAGTCCCAGATATGCTATTACTATTTCTGATTCCTTGGTACCCCCACGCCCGAGTCCCTCTCACGGGCTGCACCCACTCCCTTCAGAGCGAGTCCTCTGTGGGTCTGGTACGCAATAGTGTCTGCTTCTTGCTGAGGCAGCTGATGAGCAAGTACCATTTTACATGTTGCCCAGAGCCAGAGGCAGAACAATGCGTAATTTGCTGCATCCTATTAAATGATCAGGGATGAAATCAAGATTCAAACCAAGACATTTCAGTGTATTTAACAGTCAGTTTCTTCAGCATCTGCCATACGGCAAGCATTCCAGAAAGTATTTAAGGCATGGCATTCCCCTCCTTTAAAATGAATTCCCAGTGCAATTAAAGTTTTCAAAATTTTTCATTTTTAAAAGATGGAAGCAAAGCTCTGATGGTGGTGGGTAAAGGCCTGCAGGGTCTTGCCCCTGCTCATCTCCAGGCTCCTCTTCCTCTTTCCTCCCTCATAACTTTCCAGGTTCTCTGATCCTGTTTCTGTGCCATCACCAGCTATTTTGTGTTCCCCTTGCCTGAAATGGTCTGCTCCCCTCATCTAACAAAAGGCTTCTTGTCATTCAAGTTCCAGATTAGTTGTCACTTCCTAGGACAAGACCACCTCCTGTCTGCTCTTTCCAGCAGAACCCTGACCTTAGCTGGGCACTAGGCTGCCCCGAACACTAGTCCAGGTTTCCCAGCCTCGCCAGCAGCTGAGGTGGCCCTGGTTCTGGTTAACAGGGTATAAGTGGAATGTTGAGTGGGACTATCTAGAAGCTTCCTTACAGGGAAGCAGACAAGCCCTTCTTCCTGCTTTCCTATCTCCTGCTGTCTGGGATGTGGACATAATAACAGCAGCTTCTGGAGGCATCTTGGGCCCTGAGATGACAGAGAGGGAGGGAAGAAGGGCAGAGAGGAGTCGGGCAGCTAATGACACTGTAGGAGGGGCGGAGTGTGTGACACCAGCCTCCAGGAATCTCTTATGTGAGGGACAAATAAACTTATTTAAGCTGCTGCTACTTGCAGCTTCATGGCTAAAAGCTGCCACACCTCAATTCTGACCAAATTCCCACACCCCTGCCCAGACCCATCACCCCATTTCCCTCGTATCCTTTCACTGCCTGAAAGAGCTGGTTCACTTGTTTACACGAGACCAGGGACCTGGTTGTCTGGTCACCGCAGTATCCCTGGCACCTGCCGCAGGGCAGTGTCAGTACGGGAATTCCTTCCCAGGATTTGTGGGGTTTTTTTTTTTTTTTTTTTTTTTGAGGAAGATCAGCCCTGAGCTAACTGCTGCCAATCCTCCTCTTTTTGCTGAGGAAGACTGGCCCTGAGCTAACATCTGTGCCCATCTTCCTCTACTTTATACGTGGGACGCCTACCACAGCATGGGTTGCCAAGCGGTGCCATGTTTGCAGCCGGGATCCGAACCAGCGAACCCCAGGCCATCCGACGCGGAACATGTGCACTTAACCGCTGCGCCACTGGGCTGGCCCCTCAGGATTTCTTGAAAAGTTGATGTTTTCCTGAATCCCGAGAAGAATCAGTTGAGAAATCAGAGAAAAGTATTGTAATTCTTTCCACCAGAAATAAAGTTTAACAACCTTCACCGAGATGCTACTGTTTCGAAGAATCCACCAATATCAACAACTGGCGATGGCGAAACAGTAATGGGAAAATTTGGAAAGATGTTGGTAGTTACGCTACTTCACTTTGCTGGAAGAAAAGGGTTTTACTCAAAAACAACTAGCAGGGGAAGCAAATACACTGCAGATTCTGAACACAAGGAAGAGGAAGCAAGTTTTTCAGATTCAGATGGTGTAGCTGGAGCCGATCAGTCTGGTCTTCCAGATGATGTCTTTCCCATAATTTTTAGAATAAGAAAAATTGTAAAATTGTTTAAATTTTCTCCAGTGAGAGATTCTCTTTTGCAACAGGAATGGGAAAAAAACTTACAAGTCATTTTGGACTGCAAAACACTCTGGAACACAACATAATAAAAACGGAAAGATTTTTAAAGACCCTAAACCTGAGAAAAATGATTTTATGCCCACTGAAGCTAGGACACTTATGGAAAGCGGAATATTATGAAATTGTGAGAGAGATAGTAAATTGCTTAAAACCAACTTCATTAGAAGTTGAAGCGTTAAGTAACCATGATGCAAATCTTCTAAGCAAAAATAGAATTCTGCTCCAAGCAGTTTGCTTTTAAAAGAAATTAGAATCAAATCGCTTAATGCAGAAAAAAGATCTAATATCTCTTATTAAACATTTAAGCAATGTTAGTAGTTTACATGAGGTGGACAGCTTTTTTGCTTTGGCAAGCAAGAATGAAATAGCTCAATTAGCAAAAATCATTATTGGAAAGACTTTTGTGAAGGAAAAGATGCTTTATCAGAAGAAATGCAGAGAGGAGTAAATGCTGTTGTGGCCTATCCATCGTGAAGTCCAAAACTAATCTAAAATCCAAATTAGCAAAAATAATATGAACTCCAAGGGCAGAATCAATTCTGAGAAGGAAGACAGTATTTTAATCACTGAAAAAAGATAATGGGTTTATAATAAGCAACATGTACCTTAACGACCAACCTGAAGATGCTTCTGGACACACACACAACAATTCAACTAATGTCAACGCAGAATGAAAGAATACTCTACATCTGGAATATTTGTTGTAAAACAAAGATCAAGACAATAAGGGCAATTTAAGCTTTATGTGTTTTTAAATTTCATTTTAAGAATGGTAACTTTTAAAATTTGTGTAGTATTATTTTTCAGATTTTAAAATCATTTTATTTGGCATTTGTTTTGTGTTCAAGTCCCTCCTTTTAATATTTTCTGTTATCAAATGTCCATATCAGGTAGAGGTGATTTTTACATCATTGAAATGTAGTGCACCTTGTACCAATATATGTGTTCACAATAATAATAAACCATGTATTTGTTGTTACCTTTTTATTTTTTGCAGAAAACCTCAGAAAATTTTAGTATAACCCTATCACAGAAAAATGGTTCACTGGTTACTGTTATGGTCAGTTGTTATTTTAAAACATGTAAAGAAGGTATTACAGAGAAATACAGAATAATTTATGATTTTGAGAATACCCAAGAATTGCTGGGAATTCCAATTTCTTGTTCCGGAATCCTGAAGATTATTGTCTCTCAAGAATTTGCAGACACGGTACAGTCCCTGGCACGAGCAGACACTCAGCGTATATTTAGAAAGAAGGGATGTTATTTTGTTGTTTGATGGTCCCAGCTGTCCTATGAAGTAGAAGTGAATGTGCCATTTTACACGTGAGAATCCTGGCTCTCCTTTGAGACTGACGGGGGACAACATCCTTAAGATTCTTAAAAGCTGCATTGTTCGCTGAGATGGCCTGTGCGCCACCCCTCAGGACTCCTGGAAGTACTGGTGGGCCTCCCCTTAAATTCCTCTGACAAAGCACTTTCCAGCCACGCTCTGCGTTTGCTCTTCGCCCTGAAGCCACTTCTTGTTTGGGAATCTTTTAATGGGAGAGACTGGGGATGAGCAACAGTTTTATTTTAGAATCCAGTAAATCATAGTTTATGTCTTTCCTATTCTGCTACACACTTGGTCAATTTCTTGGTTAGGTCATCATGTTTTATCACAGCCAACTAGAAAAAGCCAGTTGGCACTTCCTACATTCTGCTTGGCTGTCTCCCCAGCCAACCCCACAAGTTACCAAGCAGCCTTTCTATTTTCCTTGAGGCTGCAGGTGACGGTGTTGCCACACTTTCTGCCACTATGCAGAAAGGGTCCTGTGTCCTCCAGTGGCATTTTCCTCACAGTCCTCACATGCCCACCAACAGTCTGTCTCCTCCTGGCCTTTTCTGCTTCTCCCTGACACTCTGTCCCAAAGTCAGTGTCACATGGTTTAGGTATGGTTAGGGCAGTGCCCCAATCTCAAGTCCCCGATTCTGTGCATGTTACCTATGTCTGCATAATAAACTTGGTGGCTTGAAACAGCAAATTATTATTACTACATTTGGGCAGGGCATAGCAAGGGAGAGCGCGTTTCTGCTCCAGGTGCCTGGGGCCACGCCTGTGATGAGTTTCATGCTTGGTAGCTGGAGCACCTGGGAGCTGGCGGAGTTTCCCTCTCTCTCTCTTCACCCCCGTCTCACTCCATGGTGCTTCTTTGTGTGGCTAGCTGAGGCTCCTTATCTGATGCAGCCTGTGGATAGTCGGACTTCGTACATGGCTGCTCAGGGATCCAGTCAATGTCCCAAGAGAGGGCAATAGTCTTTAAGGCCAAGCCTAGAAACTGTCATTTCCAAAATATTCTACTGGTCAAAGTGGTCAGAGCCCACCCAAAATCAGGAGGAGACAAGGGTCCCGTTCTCAGTGGGAGTAGTGTCCAAAATCTCTGGTTATCTTTTACCAGCCATACTTTTATTAGTAAGGTTATAATAATATAGTCAAACTTCATAACAGAAATTCAGGGATAACTTCACTCCCAGCCAGTCCTCATTCTTAAAGGGTAGTGGACTCAAGGTCTTATCTTCTACAGAGGGTTGTCCTGTGACCCTTTGAGACTCCTAGTTCTATAGATGGTAGACACACTGTGATTGAAACAACTGGTGTTCTGAATGTTCCCCATTCATCTCTCCAGATAGTGCCTTTGCTCGTCTTCACCTGCTCTGTGGCCCAGGAGACTGCTGGTTGAGTTCAGCCACCAGATGACGCCAGCTGAAGGTCAGTGGGGGTGGTGGTGAATGAAGTCACAGTGTTCATTCCTCCAGCTCCCTCCCAGGTGAGTCATTGCTTTGCTGAAGGCTTCTCCATGCAGTAGACCTGGGGTAGTAAGGGCTTCCTGGTGCTTGCTGGCTCCAGGGTACTGTCCCGGTCTTTGTTGATTTCCCTCAATCCTGATTCTGATAAACTTTCCTGAAATATCCTATTTGAGTCTTCTGTTTGCTGATGGAGACTGATACAGATGGTCCTTTCTCATATAAGTAATAAATTAAAATCTTTTTCTATTAATGTATATTCTATCAATGTATTTTCCTATCAGGTTTTTGGTCTTTTGTCCCTCCGTTTTTAGGAGTTCTTTACGTATTGTGAATTAGGCCTTATCTGTGATATATTTTACAAGTATTTTCTCCCAATTTGTTAGTTGTCTTTGTTTATTCTGTGGTTTCAGCCATACCAAAAAAAATTTTAACTTTTTTATGTAGTCAAATATATTTAAATATTTTCTTTTATTGCTTTTAGATTTTTAGTCTTTCCCCACTCCAATGTTAAAAAAGAATTCATTCATGTTTTCTTCTAGCACTTGCATGATTTACCATTTCACGTTTAGATCCCTGACCATCTTGAACTGAGTCTAGACCATGGTATGAGGTATAGGTTTAATTTTATCTTTTTCCAAATGTACCATTTGTCCCAGAACATTTCTCAAAAAGTCCATCTTTACTCCAGTGGTTTGAGATGCCACTTTTTCATATTCTAAATTTCTGAAAGTTTTTGGTTCTATTTCTGGGCTTTTTATTCTATTCCATTAGTCTATTCATTTAGTCATGAGCTAGTACCACACTGTTTTAATTATAAAAGATTTATAGTATGCTTCAATATCTGATAGGGCTAATTCCCTCTCAATTTTTTAATTGTTTTTTCTGACTAATTTTCAATATCTTTCTCATGTAAACTTTAGTATCAACTTGTCTGGCTCCATAATAAAGCTTATTCCTCTTTTGGGGGATTGCAATAATTAATAAACTGACCCAGGGACACCTGACATCTCTGATATTGAGTCATCCTAACCAAGAATAGGAGATGTTTTAGGGGCCGGCCCATGGCCGAGTGGTTAAGTTCGTGAGCTCTGCTGCAGAGGCCCAGGGTTTCGCTGGTTTGGATCCTGGGCGCGGACATGGCACGGCTCATCAGGCCACATTGAGGCGGCATCCCACATGCTGCAACTAGAGGCATTCACAACTAGAATATACAACTATAAATACTGGGGTGATTTGGGGGCGATAAAGCAGAAAAAAAAGAGATTGGCAACAGTTGTTAGCTCAGGTGCCAATCTTTAAAAAAAAAAAAAGAATAGGAGATGTTTTAATTACAAGGGCTTCATAGAGTATTGTAATATCTGATAGGGCTAGTATCCACTCAAAGTTTTAATTTTTTTCCCTGACTATTATTACCTATTTATTTTTCACATAAGCTTTAGTATCAACTTTTTGGCTCCATAAAAAACTTTGTTGGTATTTTTATTGGGATTGTGATAATTAACAAATTGAATTAGAGAGAAGTGACAAGCCTCCCAAGTCTAAACACTTCGGAATAGATAGTTTTGGCATGAGTATACACATATACACACACCCATACACACATCAAATCTAAAAAGTCATGCCAGATGTCGAAAGGACCAGTTTCATTCAGTTCAGCAAGTATTTACATATTACTTACTTGCAAATTGCTATCATAAAATATAGGAACACGAGGAAGCCATGGTCTCTGCCCTCAGGAAGATAACCACCTGAAGGGGCAATATGCACTTGCATAAATGACTGCAATGAGCCTTACGTAGCGTCGACTGCAGCCTGTCTGTTGAGTGAGCATCTCTCTGAGTCACAGAAATCTACAGCCCAAATATTCGTGTGAAATGCCTACATACATCTATGGTGATCCGTGGTAGAGATGTGATATTTTTGCTATTGTATATGCAGCATGCTGATTTATTACTCTCCAGGTGTCCTGACTACCTCTAACATTGATCCTCATCCCCCAAATGTTCTCTTCCATAGGAGAAGAAACGATTAAGATGAGATCATTTATTCATTCTACAAATATTTATTGAGTGTCTTCTCTATGTGAGGAACTGCTCTTAGAGCTGAGAGCATAGCAGCTGACAGGAAAGACCACATCCCTCCTTGTGATGATTGCATTCTAGAGGCAGAAACAGAAAACGAATGTTTAAGATATTTAAAATGTAACATAATTTCAAGTCGCGATAAGAGCGATAAGGAAGAGTAAGGCAAGTCAAGGAGATGAAGAGCAAGGTGCCATTTCAGACAGGATGGTGAGGGCAAGCCTCCCTGGGGAGAAGGCATTTGGCAGAGATATGGACGGTGTGAATGGGTCAACCACATGAAGTTCTTTGTAGGGGAGCCTTGCCTGCACACGGGAGCATCTGCATAGCCAGGGACAGCATAGAGGCCAGCAGAGCAGGAAGAGAAAGTGAGGGCAACACAGGAGAAGATGCTTGAGGTGGGCAGTGCCTTGATCAAGTCAGGACTCAGGCAAAAAGGAGCTTGGATTTTGTTCTTTGAGAAAAAATTCACGATCTGACTTATGTGTTAAATCTGGCTGCCATGGGGAGAATGGATTGAAGTAAGGGTTAAAAGTGAGGGATGGTTAGGAGTCATTGTGTTGTTCGTGTGGGAGATGACAGGGGCTTGGACCAGGGTATGGCTGTGGAGAAGTGGAGGAGTGTTTTGGAAGTGGGGCTAACAGGACTTGCTGACTGAATTTGGGAGTTAAGGGAAGATAGGAGGCTAGGATGGCGCTGTGGTTTTTGATTTTACCAACTGAGCAAACACCATTACCGCATATTGAGAAGGGGTGACTACTAGAGAAGGGGCAGACTTGGGGAAAAAAATCTAGAGATCTATTTTCCTCACACTATTTCAAGATATGTGGTTACTTCTCATTAATTTTCAACATCCCAGCATAAGTTATATATTCCTTTTCTATTCCTCTCTAGTCTCCACTTAGAGTTCTTCCCAGGAAAACATTTCCGCCAGGTGTAAAAGAAGGTATGGTAAATGATCATTTGATCATTTCTCAAGGTTGCAAGCACTATCCTTCTGCAAAAAGGATTAAATCAATATTATTGTTGATAATAAAAGCTGTTTGGGTCTAGTTGATTTCAGTTGTAATCAAGCAGGAAAACATTAATGGAGGTTAAACTAAGCTATTTGCAACGTTTTACGTGGTCTGGGGCAGAGATGAACTTAGGCTTGTGACTGGCTCTGCTCGGGCCACTGGTGCGTGACCACAGTGTACTGGCTACCTGGGGGCCGATGCTGTAAGAGGTAAGCAAGCCATGGTGTGATCTCTGAATGAAGTCGCTTAGTCATGAACGTTCTCTCTGCATCTGCTGTCCACAGACATTGGACTAGGGACCATCACTGTGTGGGATACCCAGGCACTGTTGCTGTCATTCTTGGACACCTTTTTGTCCCAGAGAGTCCCATGATTTCCTAGATGCAATGGCATTTTTTTTTTTTTTTTAAGATTGGCACCTGAGCTAACATCTGCTGCCAATATTTTTTTTTATTTCTTCTCCCCAAAGTCCCCCATTACATGGTTGTAAATCCTAGTTGTAGGTCTTACTGGCTCTGCTATGTGGAACGCCGCCTCAGTATGGCTTGATGAGTGGTGCTAGGTCCACACCCGGGATCCAAACCAGCAAAACCCTGGGTTACTGAAGCGAGCGCGAGAACTTAACCACTCGGCCACCGGCCGGCCCTCCTAGATGGAATTGATCTTTTGGGTTTTGTTTGTGGAACAGTGGCGAGTCTTTAAAGCCAAACACATACCTTAATGAGACCATAACTGAGTTAAGGCATGTGAAATACATTGAGGTGTTCAGGAGAAAAGCTCGCAGAAGTACCAATTAATATTATCTTTATCTTAAAAGAAGCTCTTAAATCAATAAGCAAAATGTGGGTCAAAAAAGAAGCTGTGAAGGGGATGTTCTTTATAAGGACCTTGGGTTCCGCAGTTAGTTCTTCCTGGTGGTGAGAATCCCGATATTTTCTGAATGATGAGAACGTGCAGCCCTCCCAGGCCCAGCACTAAGTCTTAGTAGGTGAAGCAGAGCAGAATATCTACAGCTACTATGAACCGTAAATTATTTTGCATTTTGTGGGGAAAGAACAGTGGAATTGGGCCAAGTGTGAATGATTTACATCTTAAACATCAAATGTCCAAATATTTTTTTCTGGAAATAAAAAGTCTTTTTTTCTTATAAGAAAAGTAATATAGGTTTAATATAGAAAATAAAAATGTAGAAAATTATAAAAAAGAAAATTTAAATTAACTATAACCATTATTCAGAGATTGCCACTGTTATTTTATTTATATACCACAAATACATTTATATGTATGTATACATATATGCGTATATGAATAAATTGTCTTTTAGTATATTAATTTATGTGAGCATATGGTTTGCGAGTTCATGATTTGAAAACCTAAATATCAACTTCTAAAGGACTTCAAGTTACAGTGAAAAGTTGCCTGGCATAGACATCCTGACAGTTATTTGCATTTTATAGCACATCTTCTGTGCATTAACTCTTTCATCGCTACTAATAATAGCTATTTTTAGTAATATAATTAATAATTATTATTCTTATTATTGAAATATTGGTATAGAGGAAAGAATACCTTGCTGTGAGACCGAAGTCCCAGCCCCAGTCATGATTAGACCCAAAACAATGAGCTGTACTAAAGCCTCAGTTTCCTCAAGTGTACAATAAAAGTCTTGGACTAGATGAAGTCTGAGGCCACTTCCAGTTTTAAAATCCTGTCCAAGTCTTGTTTTAGAATACAGGCTCTTACTGAGATGCATTTCCTGAGATGCGAAACTTTACTTTCGAATATTTTATCTAAAATACGCCTGTTTTCAAGCAAAGAGAAATGGATCACATTTTGGAGAATATTCGAATGCTTTGAAGATGAGGCCTATTTACAGAGAACAATTTGTTTCTCTGCATTATTTTAGCATGCAACCCTACTCCAGTCCTGAAGCTTCCTAAGTATCTGAGGCTTGGAAAATTGGGGGTGGAGGGAGCTTATTACCATGGAGATAGATGGGAGCAAATGGTCACATCTTCAAAAGCAAGCTAGAAATGTGCAAAGCCTTTGTGAGGCTGATCCTGTTTTTTTTTTTAAGTAAGAAGAAGGAAAAAAGGCACAAATAAAAGGACAGATCTCTCTCATTAAATCCAACACTAATTTAGTAATCAGTGAAATAAAGGCACCCCTGAAAGCCGCCGGCAGAAAATACGGTACAACAAAGAAGCACAGAGGTTGCTGGCTGCCAGGTGTAATTTCCAGGTACTCCAAGTGCATTTGGACTCCCCGTTCTCTTAGCTTTTCTTTACAGATTGGCCGTCTTCACAGCAGATTCAAACTATCCATTTAGTCACCCCAGTGTGTTATCCAAATATTTAGGAGAAGAAAAATTGCAGTAAAATAACCTTTAATTTTATGACTCTCCAAAGGAAACTGTAAAAAAATCAAGAGGTATGAGAAGCTAAGATTGAGTGCTAATTTATTTTTCTGTTTATTACCTATCACTTTGAATAATCTGGAAATAATTTTGCAGTGGGATAAGAGTTAAAGTTGTCATAAGAGTCAAAATTTACATAAAGCAGCTTGTATCACAATAAAGTCACCATCCCTTAGATTGCTTATTTCTATAGATAGATAGATAGATAGATAGATTTTCCATTAACACATCTGTCGTTTCATTTTACTCTGGCAGAAGCTGCCAAAAGCCTGACGGCAGGAAAGATTTATACTCAGTGCTTCATACATGCTCAAAAGAAAGGAAACCATTTAAAAATAAATATGTAATAGTTAAAGAACTTGGTCACGACTCTGCCTTAAACTTTCAGTCTATAAATCTGAAGTAGTAATTGCATGCTGTTGGGACGTTTTAGAGACTGAGGTGATGTTTTAAAAGTGTTTTGTGCTATTCAGAGAGAAAATGTGGTTTACATTATATTTTAAATGTGAATTACCAGGAAATTATCTCTTCTTCTTCCTCTTCTTCTTCCTCTTCCTTTTCCACTTCAGATTATCCCTCTTTGCCTATAGCATTAAGAGGGGAGAATATTCACAATTATAAAGACAGTAATTTCCTTAATCTATAAATTCAAACCAGAGACAAATAAAACACCAGGGTGATTCCTTTACCTTGACAATGTACTGCTAAAGTTCATCAGGAATGTAGACGGAGAGCTAGAAAACTCTGAAAGATGAGATTGAGAGGAAGTAATTAACACAACCATATATTAAAATGTATTATAAAGTTATGTAATCAAAATATTTTATTCTAGAGAAGAAACAGATAGCTGAATAGAATAGAATACAATAATAGAATAGAATGATCTGAAATAACCACAAATAGACATGTGAATTTAATGTGTGAAAAGGTAGATGGGTCAAACTTATGGAAGATGCATTAGTTAATAAAAAGTGATGGTGAACTGGCTAGGAATGAAAAATAAAATAAAATGGTTCATTTACCACACTCTTTATTTCCCCTAAATTTCCAGAAGATTGAAAGATTTAAATGTATAAAAATAAAATTATAATATCAGTAGTTCAAAACTTTGATGAATTCTTGATGAATAATCTTGCCATATAAAAAGCCTTTCTAGGGCCTGGGCCCGTGGCCGAGTGGTTAAGTTTGTGCCCTGGGCTTCGGTGACCCATGGTTTCACCATCTCGGATCCTGGGCGCAGACCTAGCACCATTCATCAAGCCATGCTGAGGCAGTGTCCCACATAGCAGAGCCAGAAGGACCTACAACTAGAATATACAACTATCTACTGGGGGGCTTTGGGGAGAAGAAGAAGAAGAAAAGAAAATAAGATTGGCAACAGATGTTAGCTCAGGTGCCAATCTTCAAAAAAAAGAAGAAAAAGGCTTTCTAAGTAAAACATAATCCTAAAGTCTTAAAGGGAGACAAAAATTAATTTGAGGGCCGGCCCTGTGGCCAAGTGGTTGAGTTCACACGCTCAGCTTCACCGGCCTGGGGCTTTGCCAGTTCAGACCCTGGGTGTGGACATGGTGCCACTCATCAGGCCGTGCTGAGGTGGCATCCAATGTGGCAGGAGCAGAGCAACTTGCAGCTGGAGTGTGCAGCTGTGTACTGGGAGGCTTTGGGGAGAAGAAGAAGAAAAAAGATTTTTGTAATTAAATAAATAAATAAATTTGAACATACACAAACTGGAAACAAATATTGCAATATATTTGGCAAACAAAGAGATAAAGTCGTTAATATACACCACCACGTAGAACTCAGTAAGTGAAAACAAATCAAAAGGAAAATGGTCAAATATGTTAAACATATTCACAATTAAATAATTACATATCAAAACAATGGGTATATCCATACAATTAAATATTATTTAGCAATAAAAAGTAGCATAATTTATAATAGCCAAAAAGAGTAAACAAGCCAAACGTCCATCAACTGATGAATGGATAAACAAAATGTGGTCTATCCCTACAACAGAATATCATTCAGCCATAAAGAGAACTGAAGCCCTGACACATGATACAACATGGATGAATCTTGAAAACATTATGCTAAGGGAAAGAAGCTAAACTACAAAAGACCACATTGTAGGTTTCCAATTGCATAAAATCCTCCAAATAGGCAAATCCAGAGAGACAAAAAGTAGATTAGTGGTTGCCAAGGGCTGGGGGAGGGAGAATTGGAGAGAAATGAGGAGCGACTGTGAATGGGTACAGAGTTTCTTATTGAGGTCATGAAAATTGGTTGTGGCGATGGTTGCACAATTCTGTGAATATACTAAAACCATTGAATTGTACACTTCAAATAGGTGAATTGCCTGGTATGTGAATTATAGATCAGTAAAGCTGTTATTTTTAAAAAATTTTATTTAAAAAGATGAAGTATGTTGAATTTGCTCATCAGATTGCAAAACCCAATGAATAATGAATGTTGTAAATAGCATAAGACACAGGCATTCTCATACTCTATTGGTAGAAATGCAGATTGGTACACTTTTTGGAGAACAATTTAGCATTATCTTTCAAAATTTAAATGCACCACACCTTTTGATTTTGCAATTCAAACTCAAAAAATTTTCCAAATGGATATATTTGCAAAAACTTGCCAAGTTGCATGTGAAGGATATTGTGTGTAATAGGAAAATCTGAAAATCTGCAGGTACCCATTTAAGGGGATATAATATAGCCTTTTAAAAATAGCCTGGAGGTGGGGCTGGCCCCCGTGGCCGAGTGGTTAAGTTCGCGCGCTCCGCTGCAGGCGGCCCAGTGTTTCGTCGGTTTGAATCCTGGGCGCGGACATGGCACTGCTCATCAGACCACGCTGAGGCAGCGTCCCACATACCACAACTAGAGGAACCCACAACGAAGAATACACAACTATGTACCGGGGGGCTTTGGGGAGAAAAAGGAAAAAATAAAATCTTTAAAAAAAAATTAAAAAATAAAAAATAGCCTGGAGGGGCTGGCCCTGTGGCTGAGTGGTTAAATTCACGTGCTCTGCTTTAGCAGCCCAGGGTTTCGCTGGTTCATGTCCTGGGCGCAGATGTGGCACTGCTCATCAGGCTATGCTGAGGTATCGTCCCACATGCCACAACTAGAAGGACTCACAACTAAAATATACAACTATGTACTGGAGGGCTTTGGAGACATCAAGGAAAAATTCAAAAATAAAAAAAAAAAAATTTAAAAAAGACAAAAAAATTAAAATATCCTGGAGTTATACAGGCTGATATGAAAAGATCTCCAAGAAAACAGTAAAAATAATGTTTACTGAGTACTTGCTATGTACCAAACTCTCTTCTAAGTGCTTTGCATGCACTAACCCACCTAATCCCCTTTGCAAGCCTATTCTTTTGATATTACTATTGCCTCGATTTTACAGATGATGACACTGAGAAGCACAGGTAGGTTTAAGCAACTTTCCCAGGATTACATGGCTACTAAGTGGCAGAAACAGAATTCAAACTTATTGGCATAAACTTTAAAAGTAGATATCTACAGATCTATGTCAATATGGGTTTACAGCTAATTTTTCATTCTAGAAACATACATAAGTAACTGTCGAAGAGAGAGGGACTGAAGAGCAAAGAGAAAGTCCTTGCTCTGTGTTTTATATATTTTTGTATTGCTTAAATAATTTACCATGTGATATTTACTTTATTTCAATAAAGAAATTTTAAAACCTCAAGCCCAAAAGATGTGTATTCTAATATCTAAAGGTTCTGAGAAACACTAAAGAAATAAAGGGGGCTATTTCTATCTTCAAAAAGCAATGTGATTTGCCCACAACAGGCAACAGACTCTGCTATCTCCATGTTTCAGACGACGTAAAAGAGGTCAGAGAGTTTAAGAGAATACATTTGGTAGCGGTATAAAAATCGTAGACAGAATGTACGGCATGATGACTATTGAAGACTAGAAATTTGTGAAGAAAGTAGATTTCAGGTGCTCTCATCACAAAAAAAAAGATAACTATGTTAAGAGATGATATGTTAATTAGCTTGACTCCAGTAATCATTTTACTATGCGTAGTATATCGAATCATCACGTCGTACACCTTAAATATATACAATTCTTATTTTAAAAAATCATAGACAGGAAAGAGTAAGCATCAAAGGCGTGATCAAGTATGGAAAGAGGAAAATGGGACTGGGTTGAATCTACGATATTTTCTTAATAAAATATCAAAAGTAAATAGCACAAAATATTACCATTTGTTAATTCTGATAGTGGGTACAAATGTATTGTATTACTCCTTGTATTTTTCTGTATGTTTGAAGGTTTTAATTTTTCTAAAAACCGTTCTTTCTACACACTAAACTGCCTCTTGATTGGTTACAAGAAGGCAAGTTGACATAAACTCCCACAGAACGCAATTAAGTTTTCGGGGCAGAGGGGAGCTGGTGTTTAGGCAGTTTGCGTATTTTGTGGTCTAATGCCTCCATTCCTCATTTTAAGCAGTTTTCTGAAGCCATCATCCAGTAAAACCCAAACGGCGTTTGCCTGACATTTTTGGATATGAAAAATCAAAGATCAACTCAGCATACTTAACTGAAAGACTAATGTCCCTTTTTGATCTCTCCTTAAATGAAATAGCCAGTCTACAGGTTTAATTTTCCCTTTTTCAGGTGTCTAAGACCTGACCTTCTTCATTCTAATTCAGTTACGCCTGGACCGCGCATGCCCAGACTTTGTCCTATCCAGCCTGAAACACCACTGATGGCTCAGCACGCATTAAACATCGGTTTCTTCACATCACTTCTTTGCACAAAAGCCTTCAAACTCTCGCTTACTTCGTTCTCAGCTCAGGTTTCAAGACTTCCTTAGTCTCCACTAAATCTCTCTTTCCAGTATCATGTCCCACAACTTCACAGAACCCTCCACAGTAGCAATACTGTTTGATGTACAAAATTTTTGCCTCATCCCTAGATTGGCCAGTCCCCTTCCTCTCTGCCCATCTCTATCATGGTCCAACTTCAATCCAATGTCTTCCCTGGAGCCTTCCCTGATCACCCTAGCCCACAGTAGTAACTACAACTACTTCCTCATAAGCTCATCCAGGAATTCCCATCTTTGTGGTATACTTGGCAATGGAAGAGATGCCAACGTCTCCACACAGGCTCTGGATTTCACTTTCTCTCATGTGGCCAGGAACCTCACTCCGTGGATTACTCTCTCTCTCGCTTCTGTAGCTTTAATCTCTCACTCTACTGGCTACTTCCCATCTCCACTGTAAACTTTTCAAGGGCCTCCCATTAAAAATGAAGCCCAAAGTGTGCACACAATGGAAGTTCTGGTCCCCCTAAGTAAAGTGCTGAGAAGGGAGCAAAAAGGAAGACCCTGTGGCAGTGAATCCTGGACTTGTGGTTCTCCACGCACTGCATCAGCCAAAAGCATCAGCAAAATCCAGTGGTATACTCGTAGGCTGGTGGGGTGTGGTGTTATTTATCAGCCCCAAACTGCAAACAACTCAAATGTCCATCAAGAGTAGAATGAATAAATAAAATATGGTTGTATTGTAATATACATAAATACATTATGGGGAGGATGGGATGGAATACTACTGAGCGATGAAAATGCATACACTATAGCTACATGGAATGACACGGATGAATGACACTAACAGTTGAGAAAGAGAGGAACAGCCCCTGATGCCCAGGAGCCAGTCAGTCCTGTCGGTTGGCACTCGCTGACAGGCCTTTGTGTTCCATTGAACGTCAGTAATGTCACACAATATAACATCAGACAAGGCCACTCTGTGACCACAACAGATCAAGACAAAAACAAGACTACTCTGTAATCACAGCTGACCACAGACAAAACACAAATATGTGCCCAAACCACAGAAATGAGCAAATATCCCCTTACGCTCATTAATATGAGTGATTGCTGCTTCTTTCCCAGTTACAGCTTTAGCCTTGGTCTAGGCTTCCTTCCTCTTGGATAAGCTTTACTGTGACACCCAATCACAAAATTACTCCTGTTTCCTGACCAGGGTATCCAAACCAGAGCAAAGTCACTTCCTTAAACTCTCCCACAAATCATCAACACAAGCCCAAATCCTATAACAAATCCTGACACCCTGTCCCTGAGATGCGCCTGCTTCCCCATGGTGTGCGATCTCCCTCACCCGGCTTCCTCAACTGCAGGAGGGTTCCTGTTTGGCTGGAGGGCATTGATGCAGTAACTTGAGTGAAAGAAGCAAGTCACAAAAAAATACAAACTTCCATTAAATGAAGTTAGTGAAAGTCAATACTAAGAAAAATTGTTTAGGGATGCATTCCCACAGAGGTGATACAGTATAGAAATAAAGGTAAGGAAGGGATTATGACAAGTGTTGTGTTCACTTTTAAGGCAGGTAGGGATGGGGATGGGCAGAGGCATGATCCAAGGAGTGGGCACCAGAGAAAGAGGCCACACAAGAGCACAGGTTGAAACTGGCCAAAGCCTGGGAATTGATCTGAGAGTGTGTCGGTGATCTCTCCTCCAGGCGTGTCTGAGAAGAGAGGGCTCAAGCACCATCCCAGACCACAGGGAATGGATTCAGGGCACGTCTGGTGGTAAAGCTTCAGTCTGGACGTGGCTTACCTTCTTCAAGGATGAGTAAGGAGAACAAATCCCAGTAGGCTAGGAAAAACTTTAGAGCAGAATAGGAGAAAGGAGACAGCCTCTAGGAGACTCCAGGGAAAAACTTGCTCTGGGACTTGATCTACTGGAAGATAGAAGAGAACTTCAGGGACCTGATAGCCGTAATAGGCCCCACGTGGGCTTTTTAAAATGGCAGGATTATGAGTTATTAAAAGAGGGGAACAAAATGAGAAGATATTAGGACGAAATGAAAATGCAACAAGGTTTTTTTTAAAGGAAGAATGATGTGATAAGGAAAGATTGGAAGGAAATTAAAACTGAATGCTTGAATTAAAAAAAAACTGCATTGGAGATGTAACAAAATCGATGCTTGTAGTGATGTACAGGATAAGTTAAATAACTCTAAAAATACAGAGAAAAGGATAAAGAGATGAAAAATTCCGATGCTAACAATGAAGGATAGAGAACAAAGAAGAGAGTCTGTTGGTGTTCCTTAAGGAGCACTGGGAACAGGGAGAAAGATAAAATCACTAGAGATACGATGAAGAGTGATTCTCTGCTGGACGGTGGGGGGACGGTGGGTGACACAGCCCTGGTGGGCACATAGCTGGACTGCCCGGGGAAAGAGTAGTGTGCTTTTAAATCCCAATGATGAGTGACTGCTGGTCAGCCTGTGCTGTGTCCTTCAGTTGTGTTAGGAAAAAAAAAATTCAGAAGCATCGTAAAATAGATCTGAGATGAGATAATGAACGAATGAATGAAGGTGTTTAGATGAAAAGTGCTAAACCACATCCTAGGTGAAATCAACCAAGAGAAACCCACACCTAGACACACTTGGACAAACTTTTTGAACTACAGGATTAAGAGAGAAAAAATGCTACTATATTCACTTTCTCCCCTTAGAAAAAAAGAAAAACTATCCAAAACAAACAAATTAGAACATTAGACTTGTCACAAGCTTTTCTTTCTCTGCCAAAGTTCCTAATGACAATGAAGCAATGCTTACAGAACGCTAAGGAGGAGGCTGGAATCCAACAGCTCTTGGCTGTGTCGTCACTCGGGGAAAGGCCACATAGACTTCTCCATCTTGCGAGCTCTCAGGAAGGATGCCACCTGTGGACCTTTTGAAAAATGACTTCAGATAGACTCAGACTTATGAATTGGTAAGTCATGGGATGAAACAGTTGGTGGTAAGAACCAAAATCAATGGAAGTCAAGATCATTTTAACCAGTGACAGTCAATTATTTTTCAACATCTCCATCCTCTATATAACAAAATTAATTTTAGTAATAATCATTAAATATAATAAATAATAATACTGACAAGAAAAGAAGTGTAGACAGTGAAAATAGTTTATTAAATTTTGTATATATAGGTATACCAGTAAAAAAAAATTACATTACAAAAAAGGGAAACACGGATTAATACTTTTTAATTACAATTATTTTGGAGGAAAAAAGGAAAAAATTTGAATCTTTGTACCTACATACTGATCGGTCACAGTAATAATATTACAATTTAATAATAATTATAAAAGGCTGGCAAGTTAAAAACAAGAAGAAAGTTCTATTTTAAAGATAATATTGGAATTCAGTGAAACATTTCATGTATAAACTAAATTTTGCACTTGCCAATCAAAAAAATTCACATTGCAGTTTGCACCATTTCACTGTTTTTTATTTTAAGTACCAAAAGTCTGAATAGTCAAAAAGAACGACAGAACTGAAGTTAACTCATGTTCTGGCTCTTTTGCCATCACTGGGCTATTATTTATTTCAAATCTACGGCTTACACACAGGCATCTGTAGTACCTGAGGGAGGGACCCCTAAAGAGAGTTGGAACAATCCTGACCCATCATAAAGTTACCTTGGAATGAGCCCGCGTGTCCGCATGTGTTGGCAGCCCAACAGCTAACTGGGAATTGTTGTAGTTAACGTCCATGCAGAATACAATGTTTGCTATAAGTAACAAAATGTGCTAAGTTCAAGTTTGCATGCATATTATTAAAATTCTGGAACCTCAGCAATTGTTTAGGGTTCAGGCCAAAGATTTTTCAGGAGGCGTGTTGTATGCCTGACTTTGCTGACCTTTGCTGGCTGATGGCTGGAGTAAATAGCCAACTAACTTGTGGTTAGTTCGTCAATGCTCTGACCACTCTGTCCTTCGTCTACTATCGCTTTTAACAATTCTGGTAAAGCTGGCTGTAGCACTGAATGCCAGACCCAGGTCTCTCTTCTGATTGTCCTCCAGAGGAAGAACTATGGTTGAATCAGTCATGATTATGCTCTCACTGCATGTAATGAGAAGCCAAAACAGTGGTTTAAGCAAGAGCGGAATGTTTGTGTGCCAGGCAGCTCAGGGCTGGTAGAGCGTCTCTGCATTGTCATCTGTGATGCATGCTCCCTGTTTTTTTGTGAGAACCTTTGCTTCTGTCTTTTTCCCTTAAGCTCACAAAGTAGCTGCTGAACCTCAGGATTCTGTGTTGACATTCCACGCAAAAAGCAGGAAAAGCAAAGGCAAAATGCTCACAATAGGCCAAATCTGACCTTTTTTCTGAGGACAGCAGTAGCTTTCCTAGAAGCCTCGCCCACCAGATCTCTGCTTGCATTTCACGGGCTACCACATGTTACCTGGCCGCTCCTAGCTGCAAGAGAGTGGGAAAGAAAGTCTTTTTATTTTAGTGGACGCATTGCCATTCCAAATGAAACGGGGTTCTTTTGATAGGGAAGAATGGAATTATTTAGGTAAACCACCTGGTGATTAAATGCTAGCTATTATAGAAGCCCCCCCTTATCTGTAGGGGACATGTTCCAAGACCCCCAATGGATGCCTAAAACTGTGGATATACACTGTTTTTTCCTATCATACATACCTATGATAAAGTTTAACATAAATGTGGCACAGTAAGAGATTAACAACAAAAACTAACGATAAAATAGAATAATTATAGCAATATACTGTAATAAATTGCATCACTACTGTTGTGCTTTGGGGCCATTACGAAGTAAAATAAGGATTACTTGAACACAAGCACTGCGATACCACGACAGTCTGTCTGATAACCAAGGTGGCTACTAAGTGACTAACGGACAGGTAGCATCTACAACGTGGATCTGCTGGACAAAGGGACGATCTACATCCCAGTCAGGAAGGAGCAGGATGGCATGAGATTTCATCACAGTACTCAGACTCGTACACAATTTAAAACATATGAATTGTTTATTTCTGGAATTTTCCATTCTTTTTGGATGGAGGTTGACCATGGGTAACTGAAACAGTGGATAAGGGGGACTACTGTAAATTCTTTTGTTGCTGAAAAGGTACTGAAATAGACAGACTTGGGATATACTTAAATTTCCCATAAGGAGAAACTTGTGGTTGAGAACCAATATAACCTTAACAGTTCCAGTGCTATAGCATGAGAAAGATTCATACTATGCTCTGAATATTGTGTCCCCTCAAATTCATAGGTTGAATCCTAACCTCAAAGATGATGGTTTTAGGAGCTGGGGCTTTGGGAGGTAATTAGGTCACGAGGTGGAGCTCTCACGAATGAAGAGATTAGATTATAAAAGAGACCCCAGAGAGCTCCCTCATCCCTTCCACCACATGAAGACACAGCAAGATGGCACCTTCCAAGAGGAAGTGGGCCCTTGCCAGACACCGAATCTGCTGGTGCCCTGATCTTTGATTTCCAGCCTCCAGAACGCTGAGAAACAAATTTCTGTTGTTCATAAGCTACTCTGTGGTATTTTGTTATAGTAGCCCAAATAGACAACCCATTAAGAAAGATGCTTAGCTCTCAAGGGGTAGAGACTATAATAGCAGCTCTGGGCCAAAATTATTTCCTTTCTACTTATTTTTATTTTTATTTTTTTGGATTTTAATATTTTTCCATTGTGTTATTTTCCTTTTTTGTGACCAAGAAAGATTAAACAGTATATTGCCATATTCAGTCACTACGTGTATAAGGTCTAGAGACTCTTAAAACCAGAAGCAGCTGCTATACAGGCAAACATTGACACCCATCTCTCAAGTTCTTGAATCTGCTTAGAGGTAAAAGCTGCTGTGGCTCCAGTAGCACCTGTAACTACTCAGCACTCGCTCACGAGTCACTAGTCCCCCTTGGAAGCAGCTCCTGAAGGCAGGGATGACAGAGGCAGCAGTCATCCTCTGGGAGGTGTTTTTAATGCCAAAGCTACGTTTCATCTAGTCTAGCTCCTTCCCCTTCAGTACTAGGCCCAGGTTTTCTCATTTTGCCCTCAATGAGGTAAAGAATGTATTTTTTTGGTGAAAGTCTGCACAATCAGTTAACTGTTTTCTTAATGTCTCCCACCTCAGAAAATGGTCTGAAGGAGGAACTCAGGAAAAGGATTCTAGAGGAAAGGCCTCCCAGACCACAGCAACCGTGACTAGAAGAAGTCCCGGTCATAAAGACGCCAAACGTCCAAGGAGGGGCCGGGCTGAGGCTGCAAGGCCCTACCACCAAGCTGAAGAAACTGCCACTTGTTGGAGACAAATTTGTGGAGTTGAGAATGGTCTCTCTCAAAAAGACACTTCTTGAAGAGTCTGGGCCAGGGTCTTCCGTTTTGCTTTTATATGGGATTTAATGCTAGAAAGCATTAAATACATACACATACATGTATAGATACACATATACAAAGAGATATACAGGTAAAGATAAACATATTTGGACATGGATATACATACACAAACAGACATACGTATAAAGACATAGGTAAAAATATACGTACACATAGACATAGACACGGATGCAGGGGACTGAGGTGACCACCACGTGAAGAGCTGATAGGCCACTGGGAACACCCAGGCCTCCTTTCCAATGATCTTCTCAAAGTGTGAGCACACCACATGGCACAGCTGTCTTCACTGCTATATTCTAGAACGCCCCTGCATCAGATTCCTTCTCACATAAGAACCAACAGTGATAACGCCATACCTCGTTGTGCGATGAAACACTACGGGGCCCTTGAAAGGAGAGAGGTAGATCTTGAGGACTAACAGCGAAAGATGCCACTGTGGTGGAGCGCCTGCTGTGAGGTGAACAAAGGAAATGCAGAGCTGTGAACAGAGGAGACTTCTCTCTGGTGTTTTTTGGGGAGGAGATGATTAGACGGTGCATAGAAAAAATTCTAAGGGAATGTGCATCAAAATGTTACCGTTTTTTTCTTGGGGAGGAGATCATGGGGGAACATTCCACATTTTTCTATATTATATGCTTCTCTAATGTTTCATGCTTTTATAAAAAAATGCATTACCTTTGAAATCAGAAAAAACAGATGGACACATAAAACACACATGTTCATATTGTGTACGCACCATGTTCTCTAAAGCTTGCTTCCTTACGAGGTCTGCCTCGCCCTCACACCACTCCCAGACCTTCACTTCATCAGTCCTGCGCCTTCACTTTGGCTTTTCCTTCTGCCCAGAGTGCCTGCCCCGAGCCTTTCATTATTCCAAATTCTCTTTTTTTGAAGAAGATGATTACTAACATCTGCTGCCAATCCTCCTCTTTTTGGTCAAGAAGATTGGCCCTGAGCTAACATCTGTGTCCATCTTCCTCTACTTTATATGTGGACGCCTGCCACAGCATGGCTTGATAAGCAGTGTGTAGGTCCACACCCAGGATCCAAATCTGCAAACCCCAGGCCACCAAAGCGGAGCATGTAAACTTAACCACTACACCATCGGGCCAGCCCCTAAAATTCTCCCCGCCTGACCATCAAGGATGGCCCAGATTAAATTCAAAGGTCTCCCTGAAACCGTTCCCCCAGTTCTGAGTCCATTTGGACTCCTTCTTTCCTCAACTTTCATAAAGCCAACTGCAGCGTGTATGAGAATCCCCTGGAGAAACTGTTAGTGCTCCTGTTACCCATCCCCAGAAACTCTGACCCAGCAGCACCATGGTAGGCCCAAAGTTTGCACTTCTAACAATACTCCCTAGTGCTGTCGATGCTGCTTGTTGTGGGTCACATTTTAGGAGGCCCTGGCTAGAAATCAACAACTTAGAACTCATTGTGTTGCTTTCCTTCTTTATCAAACATACGCTCTGTCATTGGACTGCCAGTTCCTTGTGGGCGGGCACCTAGTTTTACATTCTTCTGAATCCTCCGTGGTTTGGGAGCCACGAGATGTTCACAGGACATGTGTTACCTGAGGCTTGGAGGTCTGCAGGTTTTCTCAGTAATTTAGACAGTGGTAAAGACTATGGAAGAGTTTACAGCAGTCTCTTCCGCTATGACCAGCTCCAGAAAGCTTTCTGGCCCTGGTTCTGAACTTGAATGCCTCTAGAATCCATGTGTATGACCGTATGACTTTACACAGGTTAAGGGACAATGGACATATCAGCCTCGGGAGGACAATTCCTTTATGGAGCCTCAGAATCTCTGAAAACACAACTTTATAATGAGACTTCCTTTAATTTCTAGACTGTTCCTAAACTAGTGGGTTCCTGAGGCTGGCTAATACAACTTGACTATAACAGAGCAGTCTGAACTTAGGTGGCCACAACTAAGTGTGAAATGCAAATGTGCAACTGACTTCTAGCTTTATGTTTTAAAAGGAGCGATGGGATACCTGGGCCTGGTGCTGACCCACTGTATGAATGCCAATCACTCCATGCAAGTCAGAGTACAGAAGCTGGCCCCATAGAGGTCCCCTGATGGCTACCTCTCCAGAAGAGCCCCAAGCAACAGAACACACACCCAATCCATGCTGTAACTCTGCACCTGCCAAGGCCCACCCTTCTTTCTCCAACCAATAAAGCCCCCAGTTTTCTTGGGGACTACAGACAATTGGAATGATCCCACCCACCCATCTCTGTGCAGTGTGTTGAGAGTGCTGAGAATCTCTAGTCCTTGACTCTCCTCTTTGGCATACATCCCATTCTCTTTTCCACTGGATCTTGAGGAGACAGGAGGCATCATTAAAGCTTGTGTGTGAATCTGTTATTTCATAAAAGATCACTTATTAGGGGAATAAGAATGTGCTTTTAGTTCTACTCCTGAAACTAGAAAATCAGTCTTTAATCTTATAGGAAAGGAGACCTGGTCCTCTATACTGATAGGGGAAAATATGGGATATATGTAGTTCCCAAATATGGTAATCACGGGACCCTCTTAGCGAACAAACTTTGGTTGAAAAATGGAAAACTGACACTCAGGAATGGGATGCAGTACTTTGAATCTACAGCATGACAAATATTTACTAAGCACTCAAGTCACAGACACCGTCCTGGGCACTGTGTATATAATGATTCACAAAACAGACATAGTTATCGCTTATGGAGCTTATGGTTCTTCTCATGTTGCTTAGTCTCATGAGGAGGTAATTATTAATATAAAACCATTCAAATAAATGTAAAAGTTTAATTACAATATGTGCTATGATGGAGGAGTATATGGTGTCATAAAGGTGTGAAATAGAAGTCGTTCACCTAGAGAGGGCAGTAAGGGAAGACCTTCTCAAAGATCTGACTGCTGAGCTGAGAGCTGAAGGATGAGTGGAGGGTACCAGGGCAAAGAGTATTCCAGGCAGAAAGACATACAAAGGCCCTGTGACAGGAATGAGCATGACATGTTCATTCACTGAAGAAGGCCCCTGTGGCTGGTACAAATGGTGGGGTGGAACATGATGCAAGATGTTGCTAGAGAGGAGGAGAGGGCCAGACCATGTGTGGGTCTCACAGGTAACATTATGAATTCTTGTGAGTAATAGGAAACCACTGAAACGTATAATTATAATTCTGTTTTGAAAGAGTTCCTCTGGCTGTTGTAGGGAGAACGGATTGGGAGAGCCAATAGTGCCAGTGGGAGACGAGCAAGGGGACTATTGCAGTCATCCAGAGGAGAGAAGATGAAGTTTGGTCTAGGGTTGGAGCAGGGGAAATGAGAGGTAGACACCTCGGGCCACTTCCCAGCTAAATCTAATGATGCCCAAGAGCTGCCTATGAGACTGGAGGCTCCGGGAGAGCTGAGCATTGGAGGCCTTCGTTACAAATCTGGTGGATTATCGTACAGCAGTTCGAATTCAGGTGACCATCCTACATTTGAAAAGTGTGTGGTTGACTTCTAGTTCCATATTTTAAAAGGAATCATGGGTCAGGCAGTTTTTCTAGAGAAGTAGACCACGGAGAACAAGGAGAAGCAACTGAAGGAGAGACTGCTCAGGAGTGTCATTCTGCGTTATCACCTCCACAGCTGCTGTTTCCAATGACAAGTTCCCCCCAAACCAGAGAGCCGAGGACCAGTAAGAGGAGGTGGGGGAAATCTCCTTGGAACAAAGAAGAGAAAGACAAAGATGTTTCCTCATTTTGAAAGCCTGGGTCCTAAGCAGCAGGGTCCACACCAAGTTTCCGTGAGGTCATTTTGCAGTATGGTAGCTTCTGGCTTTACTGTCAGCATTTCTAAAGACAGTCCTAGAAATAAAGGGGCCAAGAAGGGGCTTTTTTAGAACCATTAGTGTGCCCCCTCCCCCACAGTCCCATTAGCGGACCTTATTAAACCAACTCAGACAAAGAGCAAGGATGCCCTACTTGACGGAGAGTCTCTTATAATTACTCTGCTCAGCTGTTTCTTTTAGGGTTTGAATGGCCTTTAAATAACGTTTCTCTTGCTGTGGTCACAGACAATGACTTAGCAGTCTGCTTTAAGCAGTGCCAATCCCATTAGCTGAAGAATAGCAAACTGTGTGTGTCTAGGTGCCAGTGAGTGTGTGTGTGTGTGTGTGTGTGTGGTGAGGAGCCCAGCCTATGGTGGAGATCAGATTTAATTGTTGCTTTCTTGCCCTTTTCCTCTCTTCCCTTGAAAACCCATCCCTCCCAGGAATCAAAGACAACACTGTATCTGTTGGGTCATCTATTGGGTGAAAATCTATTCCTGGAAATGGTGAGGGACCCCCTCAAATGCATGCAGAATGCCTCTCGCTCTTCTTTACTAAGCATTTCTCTGAAAGATGATTTTAAACTTATCCCTGCCCTCTAAGAACTTCAAGTCCCAAATAACAACAAGGTGGAGAATATACATGTCTACTGTTCGGAGCCAGAGAATGCAAAACGCTTTATCAATGTGGAAGGGGACATAGGGGATAGGAGGAACGGCAAGATCCTTGGGGAGTTTTCCTCTGCGACTCTCTCTCCTGAGGCCTGCAGCTCTTTTTTTCTGATAGTTAGACTATGTTATATTTAAAAGCAGGTTCTATCCAGGTCAGAGAATGTGAGAAAAGGGCAGCCTTAATTTATTCAGAAAAGGTCAAATTCCCCAATATGAAAGTGTGACTAAGTTCAATCATGAGCAACTTTGTAATAGAAACGTGTACAGAAACATTGCAGTGAATCTAATCAGTCTGGAGCCTGCTCTGGCCCCCTCTGGAGGACTTTTTGAGGGGTTCCAGAATGGTCTGATCTGACAGGTTTTAAACCACCTGAGTGTGCCAATAGGCAGCATAAGGAAGTGGGATGACTCCAGTTACACAAATACGTGGGAGACACACCATACACACATGCACATGCACACACGTCACTTGACAGCTCCTGGGAAGATGAGCATACTGCAGCCCACAGGATAGAAGAGCCACTTTCTGGGTTTGGGTTCAAGAAAGACATCATCAGCAAGGAAATATTTTACATGGGAAAATTAAGATGTCCCATGCAGCTCACACTCCTTTTAACTTGGATCTGCCTTTCATTTTAATGACTCTGGATAGTTTACACAGGGGTTCATTCTGTACAATTTAATTTAAATTTCTGATCTTATTTATTTTCGAAAGCCTAAACTTACAATTATCTGAGAAATGTTGGTTTCTTGTATATGCACTGTTAACAACCTATCTGTTGGGTAACAACTTTCCTTTGCATAACAATTAGTTAAAATGTATGAAATACGGACACTCATCCTACGGAAACTGAAGACTCAGTGTTTTGGGAATTTGGCTCTTTTGTGTCAGTGGTTCCCACCCTAGTGAAAAGGACTGAATAGTGTGAGAGTTCATTTGAGTGTTTTGGGGGAGGGGAAGGCCTTTTAGATCACACGAAAAA